ATTACTTGAGAGCAGGGAACATGTCTTGCACACATGCTCCCCACAAGAATCTAATACAGTGCATTTTCACCACCATGACCTGGGTTCAGGCCTTCACTACCTCAACCCTGAACCTCTACTTTTTAATGCTCTTGGTATATTCAAATACATTTAGTAGTTATATGTCAAACATACTAGGTAACAAGACCAGTTCCCACCCTTAGTAGTCATATGACTCTTAACATTAATTTCTACCACCACGACCTAGGTTCAGACCTTCACTACATCCGTCCTGGACCTTGACAAACAACAGCTTCCTAATCTCTAAATACACCATTTGAGCTTCTTAATACATCTTTTTGCTCTGCCTCCCCTGAGCTACATCTCCAGTCCCTACCTCTTGACTTGCCTACTTTCTTATTACCAGAACACTAAAACACAACTTTGTCCACACAAGGAGAATATCTTCCAACCTTGCTACAGCCTCAAGCCACTCACTCTTCATCACCAAACTTCTCCACATAACTTAGGCTTTACCATTCATTCCCTTCTTTCAGAATTCATGACTTTAAACCACATGATGTGAATTTCACTCCCCCCCCCAGAAAATAGTGAAAAGTCCCAAAAGGACATCAGCTGTTGTCTGTCAGGAGGTGAGGCAGAGTTGCAGGTCTGGGTTGGGAGGGACACCTGTCCCAGCTGGTGTGTAGCAGGGTATAATGGGAAAATTGCAAGGGCACTCCTTATAAGCCTGAAAACCACAAAAGGGATGTTCCGGGGGTCTAGCCAATGCAACTAAAAGAGATCCTAGAACTGAAAAATTTACAAGTGGGACTCAACAGCTGGTCTGAGCTGGCAGAAGAATCAATCAGTGACTTCAGAGACAAGTCAAATGAGATTATCCTTCTGAGAACAAATGAAAGAGTAAAGATTTTTCAAAAAAACAACATCATCTCAGAGCCCAGTGGGACACTATCAAGTGTAACAAACATATGCATAATAGTTACAGGAGAGAGAAAAGAGTAAAAAGAACATTTGAGAATACCCAAAACATCCTCAATTTGATGGAAAACAAGGTACAGCTGCACAAGGAGACAAATCATATTCGATCTTCCAGAAGAAAAAAACAAAGACTGAATTTGAGTAAGTAAAGAAGAGAGAAGACTCAAATTATTAATGAAAGAAATGGACATTACTACTGAACTTACAAAAATACAAAGGATTACAAAGGAATATTATGATCATTGCATGCTAATAAGTGAGGTATCCTAGATGAAATAGACTAACTGCTAGGAAGATACAAACTACCAAAACTGACTCAATAATAAAAGAAACCCTGAAAGTAAAGAAAATTAATTAGTAATCAAAAAGCTTCCAAAGAAGAAAACTCAAGCCCATATGGCATCAGAGGTGAATTCTATCAAATTTTTAAAGAACAACTAGCATTGATCCTTCACTACCTGCTTCGAAAGTAAAAGAAGGAATACCTCCCACTTATTAGTATTACTGTGATACCAAAGCCAGACAAGAAAAAAATTCCAACATGTTTTGAATATAGGTGCAAAAATCCTCAACAAATCACAATTAAAATGACTCAAGCAATATATAAAAGGATCAGACATCAAGAACAAGCAGAACTCTCTAGCTGCCATCTTGCATCCTCACATGTGTATGCCTAATCTCAGCTGGTCTGCCTGAGACCCCTTGAGTGCCAACCCTAGTCCACCCCCCACCAAAGTATTGAAGAGGTGAATATGTTTACATGTGATGTATGTACAGTGATTCACCTTAACAACCCTAAAGTTCAGGCGTCTCTGACAGCAAACACTTTCACCATTACAGGCCATGCTGAGACAAAGCAACTGACAGAAATGCTACCCAGCATCTTAAACCAGCTTGGTGCAGACCATCTGACTAGTTTAAGGAGACTGGCTGAAGCTCTGCTCAAACAATCTGTAGATGGAAAAGCATTAATTGCTATTGAAGAGGATGATGATGATCAAGTTCCAGATTTTGTGGAGAATTTGGATGAGCCTTCTTAGATGCAGTAAACTGAACTGATAAACTTATGAAGAAGATAAACTTGAAGAAGTTACTGGGAGCTGCTATTTTATATTATGACTGATATTTAAAATTGTTTTGTTTCTGGAACTCATAAAATTGAGATCTCTAATATTTTTAAGCCCAAGCTCCTTGGACACTGCAGCTCTTTCCAGTTTGTGCTTATATACAATTGACTCTTTGAAGCTAATTAAGCTGAAGAAGCCTGGGAATAAAGTTTGAAACAAAGTTTAAAAAAGAACAAGCAGAACTTACCCCCAAGACATCAAGATTTGTTCAAAAAATAGAAATCAATCAATGTAATACATCGTATTGATAGAATAAAGGACAAAAATAAATAATCCTCTTAGGGCTGGGGATGTGACTTAGTGCTTTCCTGGCAGGTGTGAGGCCTTGGGTGTGATCCGTAGCATCACACACACTAAGAAAAATCATCATCTCAGTAGATACAGAAAATGGATTTTGTCAAAATCCAACATCTGGACTGGGAATGCAGCTCACTGGTAGAGCACATGCCTAGCAAGTGTGGGGCCCTGGGTTCCATCCCCAGTGCACGTGCACACACACAAACAAAAATGAATTATGTATACAAACCAACTACCTCAATTTGCTTAAAAGCATCTATTAAAAAAAATAGTAAAATCACACTAAATGGTCAAAGACTTAAAGCTTTTTCTATTAAGTCCCTCAAATAAGAAACAAAACAAGGACGTGCACTTTCAACACTTTTATTCAACATCATGCTGGAAGTTCCATCCAGATCAATTAAGAAAAACTGTGTGGGGAGGAGGGAGGCAGGGCTTACAAAGTGAAAAGAATCAGGAATGTATAAAAATAAAGAATAAAATATAAAAATAAAGAATCGCATATATTACATATATTTAATATTTATAGAGGACATGATCTTGAATATAGAGAATCCTAAAGAATATATATATATATATACATACATACATACATACAGAGAGATACACACAATTAGATCTAATAAATGAATTCAACAAAGTTGCAGAATACAAAACTAGTTTTATTTCTACACACTAACAATGAATTATCTGAAAAGGAAATTTTAAAAAGTTTCATTTATAAAAGCATCGAAAAATACCAATAATTTAGGAAAAAATTAATCAAGGAGGAGCCCAAATTTGTACACTAAAACTATAAATATTGCTGACAGAAATGGGAAAAAAAACTAAATAAATGGAAAAACATCCTATGTTCATGGATTGGAAAAACTTAATATTGTGCAACTACCAACTACTCAAAGCAGTCTAGAGATTCAATGTAAGCCCCATCAAAATTCCAATCACTTTTTTTACAGAAATGAAAAACAAAAAAAGCAATTCTAAGATTCATGTGTAATGGCAATGAGTCCCAATAGCTAAAACAACTTTCTATTGTTGGAAGAACAAAATTGGGGGACTCACAGTTCTCAATTTCAAAATTAACTACAAGCTACAGTACTTAAATTATGTGGTGCTTGCATAGGAATAAACATATAGGTCAATGAATGGAACTGAAAATCCTAAAATAAATTCATTTGTCTATGGTCAAATGATTTTCAGTAAGAATGCCGAGATTATTCAATGGAGGAAGGATAATTTCTTCTAACAAATGATGCTGGGAAAACTAGATAGTCATTTGATTACCTCACATAATATGTACAATTACTTTCTGCTATAGATAGAAATTAACTAAAAGTAATCAAAGAGCTAAATAAAAGCTAAGATGTATAAAACACTTAAAAGAAACCATAATGTAAATCTTTATGACTTTGGATTTGGCAATGCTTTCTTAGAGATAATGTCAAAAACCTAAGCAACAAAAAAATGTAGATAAGTTGAAACTGATCAAAATCAAAACCATTGAGCCACGAAAGATCACTATCCAGAGTGTGAAATGACAGATCATAGAACAGTAGAAAATATTTGTAAATCATGTAACTGATGATGGTCTATTATCAGAATGTACAACTAAATAACTCTTATAATTCAAAAACAAAAAGAGAAACAAAAAATAAACTGACTCCAAATAAGATACAGAAATGGCCAAAAAGCACATGAAAATATGTTTAGCCATTAGTCATTAGGGAAATGTGAATCAAACCACAAAGAGATACCATCTAACAGAAAGTCTATCAGAATAAAAGCCATATCCCTCTGTACCCTTGGGTGGGTCCATAATGAATCTTCCTGATATCAGCAATAAATCCTAGGATACTGAAAGACAGCTCAGGGTAGCCAATCTAACTGTGACTCATCTTCTTCAGAGTCAGGAGTCTCTTCCACCTTCTGCCTCTTGTGTCTGGCTATGGCCAGGAGGGCTTTAAATAAGACTATAATATCCAAACTAAGCTCAGATTCTCTTGCTGCCACATCCCAGACCCTAACCCATACCCCAAGGATGACCTTCCCAAGACTGCGTCCCCCTCCCAGCCTTTCATAATGGGCCCCTTGTAGGCTGAGGCTGAGGTCTGGAAGGAAAAGATGCTCTCAGACTCTCATGCCTGGGCAGATATGAATGTAGGTCATCCATGGGTCACAGTGCCTTGCAGCCAGACTGTCATGAAGTCATTTCTCCAAGGTCCATGGGACTTTATTCTGAAAAATGTACATGGAACTGATACAGGATAACATGTATTTTTAACAAAAATGAACATTTCTCCTATTTTTCTCTTTTAGTCTTTCCATTTAAGCAGTGGGCTGTTCAGTTGTAATTGACTCAGGAAAAGCAAATTATAAGGAAAAAACACAATTGAAAAAAAAAATCTCTGAAATGGGTGTTTTCAAACCAGTGTCCTTGAGAAAACACTCATCCCATAGACTTGAATTTGGAAGAATTTTGTAAAGGAAGTAAAGTTCTCTCCAGAGTCTCAAACTAGGCCTGAAGTTGAAGGAGCCAAGAGCGCAGTGCATAGTCTGAACCCAGTGAGACCCGCCCTTCAGCAGTTGCCCCCATACCTGAGCCTACTGATGGGTCCAGAAGAAATGATACCTTTTAGCACCCTAAGACTTTGCCTGGACCCCACTCAATTCTTTCCATACGGACATTCTATACAAGGTCCCTGGACTTCATAAACCCCAAAGAGGAAGGCAGGATCCTGGACATCCCACTGGGCAGAGAAATGAAGAAGGAGAAGTTCCTATGCCTGTACTTGAGGGGGCTGAGCAAGCTAAGCTTGAGAAAATTCCCCAGCAGGATAGTGGAGAATGTTCCTTCCCCATATCAGTCACAACATGGAAGTGGGGATTCAGAATTTCCAGCTCCCAGCAAACTGGAGAAAGCCCTGCAGTCCCCTCCCAGGAAGAAAGCCATATCTAAGGCATGCTGAACTGTGCTGAGCTCTCCTCAGTGGCTTCCTCCTTCATTTCCTGCAGACAGCTCATCTTTTTGCCTGTTTTTGCTTGCTTCAGCAAACTCCATCCGTCCTGTTCTCCCAAAGTAATCACACAAATAACCAGATGCATTGGAATATCCAAACAATATTTTAAGGTACTCCTTTGAAGCCCATTTATAAAGTTGTCCTTAGAGGGAAAAAAAATGTACAGTTCAAGATTGGAGGTAAAAAAAAAAAAATTCTTACAAATCAAGAGCTCATAATTTGAAACTTAAAATAAGCAGACAATTTTTATTGTTCTTAGATTTATTGATCCTGCAAATCTTGATCAATGTTTAATGCGACCTAGAAGCAAAATAAAAGCAAACAGACTTTAATACAATGAGAACTGTGAAAAGGTACAAGAAAGGAAATAGAGCTTACATAATTGCTATGTAAATGAAGATTTTTTTGCGAATTTCAGATGATTTAGAAGAGTATCCAAATAGAACATGATAATGAATGTGTTCTCCAGGTGGTCATCTCCCTTCCTTTCTTCAACTTTTCTTGCTTCCTTTCTCACCTCTTTGTGAGGTCCTCTTTCTGTGGCCCACCCCTAAAATTCTGGAATTTCCCGAGCTTTTCCCCTGAGCCCGCAGGCTTATAAACACTCACAGCATGCTCTCCCAGGTGCCTTGCTCACTCTCCTTGCTCACTTGGCACCTCTGCCCATGGCTGCTGAATTTGAATCTCCTGCCTGGACTCTTCCCTGTTCTTCAGACCCATACCCTACATCGCATCAATTGGCCATTTTTACCTGCATATCTCAGAGCTGCCAGAAAGTCAACCTCTCCACACTGAAGCCCTCTTGTTCAAAAACCTTCCTTTTCTTATATTCATCAACTCATCAGATGGTAACACTCAGCTCAGTTGCTTGAGGATAAGAGTTTGGCTTTCTTCTGGGATCCCTCTTCCCTTGTCCACTCAGCCAATCTCGAATTCTCTTAGGACTCATCTCTACCTAATCCTGGTTACTTTGCATCTGGATAACCATAATAGCCTCCTAAATGGTCACCCTTATCCACTGCTGCCCATTGCAAACCTCTCTGCAGCTTATAAAAAGACAGATCTAATCCCTAAATCCTTTGAATAACTCCCACTGCATTTAAGATCAAAATCCCTTACATGAACACTCGGAACCCAGTATCATCTGACCTTTACCACCTCTCCAGCTTTCAATCTTCCCATCCTCCTAGCTTCATGCAACTCAGCCACAGTGCTGGACTGTTTCAGTCCATTCTCAACATCTTGTGCGTGGGCGCTCGCTCTCTCTCTCTCTCTCTCTCTCTCTCTCTCTCTCTCTCTCTCCCCATCCTCTGGGCTCATCTCAGGCTGAGGCTTCATCTTCATTTCCTCAAGAAGACTCATCCAGCCAGGTCTTGTGCCACATGCCTATAATCCCAACAACTCAGGAAGCCCAGGCAGGAGGATTGCAAGTTCAAGGCCAGCCTTGGAAACCTAGTGAGAGCCTAGGCAACTTAGCGAGACCCTGTCTCAAAAATAAAAAGGGCTGGGGATGTCTCTCAGTGGCAAAACGTCCTGGGTTCAATCCCTAGTACCAAAAAATAAAAATAAAAAAATTTAAAAATCTCTGCCTAGTCCCTCAGAGCACCTTACTCACTGGCCCAAGGCCCACAAAGGGCAGGTACATTGTTCAATGGTGTTTTCTAGCTCCCACCACAGTGTCAAATAATAGCAGATATCCAATAAAAATATAGCCATAAACTGACAAGCACTGAGTCCTTCTAGTCTAACTTTTTGAACAGCTCTTGAAAACAACATTCATGTCCAGCCATGGCTGCCTGTCTCTAGACTACTCGCAAAGCTCCTAACAGGTATCGCACATTCTCTTCCCACAAGATAGCCAGCCTGGCCTTTCTGAAATGCAGCTCTGGATATGTCAGCCTCCACTACATCAAACTCCACTGCCTGTAAGGAAATATGATTCTCTGGGCAGCTATTATAGTCCTTTCAGGGCCTGGCCCCTGCTTTGTCCCTTGCCTCATCCCTTACCTGCCCCCGCTAAATCACTCCACTCCATACTCTCCTGCCTGGATCTTCACACTTTTTGTGTTACCTGGAACTCCTCGTCCTCCACCTTACCACTGAGTAACAAGTAGGTGACTTCCTTCCCTGACCAAGGTTCCCAATCTGTGCTGGCAGTTCCATCTCATCAAACTAAAGTGCTCCAATGTGCCCTTCTACCAGTACCATCCAGGTCCACACCTGCTAATCTAGCTCAGTTATTGAAAGCTCCTCCTTTCATTCTCAAAAGCATACTAGTTTGGATAATAAATTACCTGGTCATTCTACTAAATTCTGGCCTATTTTCCCTCTAGAGAGTAACCTTGTGGACAAGGTCAAAACTCTTATTCACAAGTGCATCTGGCACAGAGCCTGGCACACAGAAGACATGATATGTTTGCTAAACAAACAAATGTATTTATATACTGAAAAAGTATGCACTCTCATTAGGATGTGTATGTGGTTCCAGGGCTTATTAAAGAGAAGCAAAATGGTGTGCCTTCCCAAATCTAAAGATTATATAATACCCATGTGCATGCACACACACATACACACACACACACACCTTTTGAAGAGATTTTGTTATTTTCAAAGTCTAACCCCAAAATAGACAGATAAGGTGACATACATAGATAGACATAGGCAGATAATAGGCATAGACAGATACAGATATAAGTACGGATTTTCCAATGACACACTTCATTAAATAACAGTGCCAATTATGCAAATGGTCAGCAACCAGGGAACTGACTTTCTATGAAGAAAAATAGCCTATTTGCCAACCAATTCTGGCCTTATATGTATTAGGCTTTATCAAAGTAAAGAAAAAGATGAAATAATTTGCTTTTTAAAAAAAATATTTGGGGGTTGGGGTTGTGGCTCAGTGGTACAGCACTTGCCTACCATGTGTGAGGCACTGTATTTGATTCTCAGCACCACATATAAATAAATAAATAAAAATAGAATAAAGGTCCATCAACAACTAAAATATATGTGTATAAATATAATTAAAAATTTTTGATACTTACATCAGAAAACATTGATTCATCAAGTTCTTCTACTCTGGTCAAGTTAGGTGCTCCATATCTATCACTAATTTCAGCAAGTGTTTTGCTTGTGTCTAGAAATCCTTCCTACAATCACAAAACTCACTTTCACTTTTAAGTGACTTGAAACTAATATCTTTCAGATTTAATATGAAATTTCTCAATAACATCAAAAAAAGTCAACATTGTTAATTAGTGGAATAACTAATATCTGCTAAGGACAAGAAAAAATTAGAAAAACTACATTCAGAAACTTAAAATACATAATTTGTAAATAATTCTATGGCCAATATTTCAAGATATTCTAGTTTTTAAGTATATAAACACACTCTGAATGCACAATTTTTGTTTGCTTTGAGATTTAGCTTCAAAGCGCATTACGCTTGTGATCTATCACAAGAACATATATTTGTACTATTAGTTTTGATAATACCCCTTTAGCTACTTACTGATGCATCAAAATTAAGATTTACGTCCTAGCATAGTCATTCATTTCACATAACATAGATAACTTTTTCTTCTCACCTCTGAATAAAAAGTATCCTCACTCTTCGGCATACTTTCCACACTCGTTCTCATCTCCTAGAATATATAAAAGTTAATAAAATACTTTAAATACAGCCCATTTGATTTCATGTTTAATTTTCAAGCATTTTTATTTTTACATAATCAAACTAAGAGTAAAAACCCATCACTCTTTAAGGTGTGGTCTATACACACTTCACACACAACTGCAGATCACAGTTTAATTGAAATACTAGCAGAAGACAGCTATGCTTTATTTATAATTAAGTAAAACTTTTTTAAAACTAAATGAGCTAAAAACATTAAATCTGAAGCCAAGTTATTAGCAAATGTAAAGAGTGACAAAATAAAAGTTCTAATAAAATCTTAAGAAATCTTAAAGAGAATTTGCAGGTATAAGTAGAGTTTTATACATAGTATGAAAGAAATAAGTGTTTGTGTTTTCCCCAAATTCCTATTCGATGAACGAGTCTTCTTCATAGTGTGTAGGCAACACTCTCCATAAGTCTACAGTAGAAATGTATTGCCTAACAGGGGAGGCCTTTTCGTGAATGACAAAGTGTTCTCCCAACCAAGCCAAACCTTGCTTACTATCCACCTTTTCATTCTAAAGCAGCAGGGTGACCTGACAGATCATTTGCTATTGGAAGGCAATAACCTTGTACTCATACATATGGTCATCCTAATTATAGGAACATATGTGATACTATTTTCCAAAGACAACTCCATTTTCCTATGTTCTTATAGCCCCCAACCACAGAAATAGATATTTGAAACAAACAAAACCAGTCAGAATCTTTCCCCCAAATTCTTTTCTTAACTGAACCAAAAGAGAAATCCATTCCTCACCAATGGTGTCAGCTACACACACATAAACCCAGGAACCATTAAAGACCACATTTCTCACTCAAGTGCTACAAACCAGACCATCATGAGAGAGACTGGAAATAGCAACCAGAGAACAGCAGAGGTGAGAGCCCTGGCAGCATTTGATTCTCTTGCTCTCAACAGTCTGGAAGGCCCAAATGTACCAGAGTTCTTCACAGTTGAAGTGTTCAATACTTTCTCCAACTGGCAATCCTTCCTATAAACTTATTTTGAGAATGATAGTTTAAATCGTCTGTCTGCAGCCACAATAAGGCCAGAATAAAGAACATGAACGGACTGATCTCCGAGCAATGGGAGAGGCAGAGGTACTTTGCAGGGGACAGATAAAGGATGATAATCCAGAGGAGAGACGAATTATTAAAATTACCATCACTCTGGTCACACAGACTGTTGATACCGGAACAGACTGAAATAACATGGGTGTGAGGCTTTGGAGCCATAAAATGATACCTATTTTTAGGCACTCAAACAGAACCATCATTTCACCTCAATAAAAGATACTTTAAATCCCTGATTTTGATTGTTATCTTCTTGATATGATCCTGTTTTTCTCCTGTCATTCTGGGTCACTAACTCAACTAAAGAGAAAGGGTGTGCTTGCATGTATGTGTACATATGTGCATATCCAGGCGCTCCTCCTACATAGACCAACTTAACACCCGCATCTATATTTTATAAAACTATGTAGAGGGGTTTAAATTTATACATCAAAATCTCATCTTTTTGATTCAATTCATTCTTGACACTTTTAAAAACACCCTTTAAATAGAGATGCTCTCATCTGAGCCATTAATAAACATATTGGACATATTCTATAAAACCTCCTTCTGACCTTATTTTTAATTATGGAATCAACATGGGAGTAACATGTGAGTGTGAGATAGTAGCCACAAATTCAGTCATTCATAAGTTTGGTCTATATGATACATACTTTTCTGATACCAGGAAATATTAGTAAACTGGACATTTGACATTCTATAGACACAATCAATGAAGACAGGCTTTTAAAAAATCAATTGTGCACAATTTACGTTAGTAAAAGACATGAAAATCTATATAAATGTATTTCAAAATGCAAATTACTGTTAATCCATTTAACCTGAAGAAAACAGACATGCTGTTTTCTTCAACAAACTTAACTTCCAACAGTAGCTACCACGATCAGAAATGGTAAGCTTTTTTTTTTCCCCTTTTCCTACATTTAGGTTTGTTTGTTTGTTTTTAGAGCATTGTAATTATACACAGTATTGGGGTTCTTTTTTTTTAGGATCATAATCCACATGTTTATTAGTGCATTACAGTTGATAATATTGGGTTTAATTTTGACATAATTATGGAAGCATGGAATATAATTTTTTTCATAGGATACAATTTGCTTCAATTCAGTCCCCAGTATTTCCCTTTGCCCTCTGCTCTTGCCTACCTGTTTCTTTTCCACTACTCTGTCTTCCTACAATTTATTGATAGTTTGTTTAAAATTAGTGCTTAATATACATAAGGGTGAAAATCACTGTCACATATTCATATGTATACAGAGGAAAGTTTTGACAATTTCATTCCATCATTCCTCTCATCTCTCTTCTTTTTTTTCTTTTTTTAGAGCATTGTAATTATACACAGTATTTGGGTTCCTTTTGACAAATTATATACAAGGAATTTGATTTCAATCCCCACCCCCTCTTTTCCTCCCTTCCTCCCTCCTCCTCTTTTCCCTTCTCTACTGATCTTCCTTTCACTCCTTTATTTATTTGTTTTTGATTGGTACTTTCTACATACATATAAAGGTGAAATTCCCTTTGGTGTGTTTTTATATGTATATAATATGATTCTGTTAGATTCCTTCCATATTTCTTCCCCTTTCCCTCCCTCCTTCCTTCCTCTTATTCTCTGCTTGTACTCCATTGATCTTCCCTTTATCTTCATGATATTCGATACCCTCCCACAATACCTTCTTTCCCTTATTTTGCTTTAGCCTCCGCATGAGAGAAAACATCTGACCCTTAATTTTTTGAGTCTGACATATTTCACATAGCATGATTTTCTCCATTTCCATTCACTTACCAGCAAATGCTATATTTCTTTCTTCTTTATGCCTCAGTAAGACTCCATTGGGAATAGCTAGCTCTTGACAAAAATGTTGACAGAGAAACTTGGTGCTCACAAAGCGGTTTCACATACATGACTGTACTTGATCCTCACAATAATCCAGTGAGATATTACCCATAATATTATGTTTCTATCCATATATTTTGAAACAGGTAAACTGAGATGGAAAAGGTGATGATATACTTAAGTTACCCAGCTAAAGTCTGACAGGTCTTTAGACAATCCCTTGATCTTTTTACTATGATATCAGTTTAAGGATTCTAGAAGATTTTAAATAAACATATTTATAAAACTTAAAATTACCTTCTCTAATTGTTCTTGAGTTCTCTGAAGTTCTTCTAGTCTCTCTTTCTCTTTTTTTTGCATTTCCAACTCCATTTGTAATGCCAGTTGTTGCTGAATATTCAGAAATATGTAAGTCATATTACAGTCTGATTAATCACCAGGAAAATACTCTATCACTCTTAAATGTCCCAGGCTAATTTAATTTATACCTACCTGAATTTTAGAAACTTATAGAAATAAATGATCGCAGCCACATAATATTTAGTTTCTACAAATATTTCCTGAAGCACAAAAAAGGGGGAAGATTTCTAATTGCTAGTTGTAGGAAGAACAGTTTGTACAAAAATCAAGTCATTTTCTGTTTATCTTGGAGCTACAAATGCAATTGTGATAATTTTTTCAGATAAAACCTCTTTAAGCATAAATGGATCTTCAAGTAATCAAAACTTGGATGCAAAATAATGGGTGAGAAAAATCTAAGATTATCTGAAACCATGAATAATCATCAATATATTTGTTCCCAACCCAACACGTATATACTAGAATCTGGGTCGGCTATAAGGATGGTGGGCTAATCTGATGCCACTCATTTTTTTATAGCTTGGGAGGTAAGAATGCTTTTTACATCTTTAAATAATTGTTTACATCTTTAAATGATTTCAAAAGAATGAAATTTCATCACACCTGAAAGTTATATTCAATTCAAATCTCAGCATCCATAAATAAAGTTTTATTGAAACACAGCTGTGCTCATTCACTTATGTACTGTCTGTGACTGATTTTGCCCTGCAACAGCAAAGCAGAGTAGCTGCAAAAGAGACCATGAATGGGCCTCTCACAACTTTACACTGCTGCTCAGAGTGCTATGAATTACAGTGACAACATTATAACTTAACAGGGTTTGGAGTGTCACGGTATCACCGTAACATAACATTTTTAAAAAATTATTTCATCTATCATGTCAAAACAAGAGAAGAAATGAACTTCAGATGTTGTGCTTTTTTTTTTTTTTAACTTGTATTTATTTATTTCACTTGGCTTTGCATTGTTTCCTTAAGAAAACATTCTATTCCCACATGTAATCATTAGGTGCTTTTAAACACTAATTCTCACCATTGGTTATTTTGACTAGAATTTTCACGAAGATATTAAAATTCCATTTTTGAAATGTTCCTTGACAAGATTTCCTGTTAATGTCACTTCAAATTTTATTTGTCTATTTCTTCTAATTCAAGGGCAAAATATGTATACTTAAAATATTATCCAATTTGATATATTCTGAAACAAATTGCTGTAAAAAATGAAGATGCACCATGAGGGACCATTTTGTGGATAGAATTCAGGCACTTGAGTCGGTCAATGTTTTTCTTTTTTGAACCATGACAGATGCTGTTTATATGTTGTTTTGGTAATGCATCAGCCATTTCTAAATGATAGTTATTATTATCTTAATTCTATGTAAGAGAGATAAAGATCTGATAGATTATTTGTACCAGTTTATCTTCTAGCAGATAGTGAAAACAGAGCTCAGATTCTAAGGTTGGTGCTGTTTAAACTTCATCAAGCTTGAACTCTACTTTCTGAATCCAGGAGTAACTGTTCAAGAAACTTAGGAGATTCTGGAAGGAAGACAGCTTTAAGATGAGCTCAATGCTGCAGGAATGTTGATGTTCAGAGGAGTGGATGATGATGGGTTCAAGACTATCAAATGAAGTTGTCCCCTGGATCAGCCATAGACACTCAGTTCTGAGTAATGTGGAGGGAATGGTAGATGACATATGAAAAAAATAGAAACCCTTTTAAAAATCCATAGTGCTTTTGAAGCAAGAAGCATGACTGGGGACACTTGTAACACAGGTGGTGTTTCAGAGAGGGTAGAACAAGCCCTCTGTCTCTTCCACCTTATTGTGGAGACACTGATTTTCTAACACCCCCACTCTTTGATTTTGTGAGAAATGGAAATGTGCCCAGCTAACAGGCAGTAAATCATGATGGGTTTGGAATGATTATGACCAGTAACTGCAGACTGTTTATCTTTGACAGACTCTTGATTTTAGAGCTCAACATTAGTGGTATGTCAATAGTGATATGCTCAACATTATCTTTGTTCCTTCTCATCCTAGACATACAATTCACTTTTGAGTTCTTTCTCCTTTGGAATGTATGTGTGGCCATTTGACTTACTTCATCCAGTATGACTGGAAGTGATATGAGCTGATTGGAAGTCATTTTGGAAGTGAAAGCTTCTGAAGGTTGAAACAGTAGTCTCAGGTCTTCTTCCAGTTTTCTGAGACAACCCATATGATTTTAGAGAGATGATCCTTCATCTTGGACCTTGAGAGACAGTTGACCAAACAGAAATTCTGCAAAACTCAGATGGACATAAAACAGAAGAAGAAATAAACCCTGTGGTTCTAACTCACCAAGATTTAAAGCTGTATGCTAAAGCAACATTGCCTAGTCCATCTTAATTGATACAGAAACAGACTGAGCTGGTACTTGCCTTATTTCTCTTTCTGACTAAAATGATCATGAGTCTTGGAGGTGTTGCAGCCATCTTGACAAGTATGAGGACAGAAACCCAAGATGATATGGTTGTAGGTGTAAAGTTAGGAAGCGTCTGAATTGCTGTTAACATCACTGAACAGATTTATCAATTCCAGCTCTAGCTTCCCTCTTGAGGAAAAAAAAATCCTCTCCATTTGTTTAAGGTTTTGTGTTTTTTTTTTGTTTTTTTTTAAATTTTTTATTGTTGGCTGTTCAAAACATTACATAGTTCTTGATATATCATATTTCACAATTTGATTCAAGTGGGTTATGAGCTCCCATTTTTACCCCATATACAGATTGCAGAATCACATCAGTTACACATCCATTGATTTACATATTGCCATACTAGTGTCTGTTGTATTCTGCTGCCTTTCCTATCCCCCCTCCCCTCCCCTCCCCTACCCTCCCCTCCCCTCTTCTCTCTCTGCTCCCTCTACTGACATTCGTTTGTCCCCCTTATATTATTTTTCCCCTTCCCCTCACTTCCTCTTGTATGTACTTTTGTATAACTCTGAGGATCTCCTTCCATTTCCATGCATTTTCCCTTCTCTCTCCCTTTCCCTCCCACCTCTCATCCCTGTTTAATGTTAATCTTCTTCTCATGCTCTTCGACCCTACTCTGTTCTTAGTTACTCTCCTTATATCAAAGAAGACATTTGGCATTTGTTTTTTAGGGATTGGCTAGCTTCACTTAGCATAATCTGCTCTAATGCCATCCATTTCCCTGTAAATTCTATGATTTTGTCATTTTTTAATGCAGAGTAATACTCCATTGTGTATAAATGCCACATTTTTTTTATCCATTCATCCATTGAAGGGCATCTAGGTTGGTTCCACAGTCTAGCTATTGTGAATTGTGCTGCTATGAACATCGATGTAGCAGTGTCCCTGTAGCATGCTCTTTTTAGGTCTTTAGGGAATAGACCGAGAAGGGGACTAGCTGGGTCAAATGGTGGCTCCATTCCCAGCTTTCCAAGAAATCTCCATACTGCTTTCCAAATTGGCTGCACCAATTTGCAGTCCCACCAGCAATGTACAAGTGTACCCTTTTCCCCACATCCTCGCCAGCACTTGTTGTTGTTTGACTTCATAATGGCTGCCAATCTAACTGGAGTGAGATGGTATCTTAGGGTGGTTTTGATTTGCATTTCTCTGACTGCTAGAGATGGTGAGCATTTTTTCATGTACTTGTTGATTGATTGTATGTCCTCCTCTGAGAAGTGTCTGTTCAGGTCCTTGGCCCATTTGTTGATTGGGTTGTTTGTTCTCTTATTGTCTAATTTTTTGAGTTCTTTGTATACTCTGGATATTAGGGCTCTATCTGAAGTGTGAGGAGTAAAGATTTGTTCCCAGGATGTAGGCTCTCTATTTACCTCTCTATTGTATCTTTTGCTGAGAAAAAACTTTTTAGTTTGAGTAAGTCCCATTTGTTGATTCTAGTTATTAACTTTTGTGCTATGGGTGTCCTATTGAGGAATTTGGAGCCTGACCCCACAGTATGTAGATCGTAGCCAACTTTTTCTTCTATCAGACGGCGTGTCTCTGATTTGATATCAAGCTCCTTGATCCATTTTGAATTAACTTTTGTGCATGGCGAGAGAAAGGGATTCAGTTTCATTTTGTTGCATATGGATTTCCAGTTTTCCCAGCACCATTTGTTGAAGATGCTATCCTTCCTCCATTGCATGCATTTAGCCCCTTTATCAAATATAAGGTAGTTGTAGTTTTGTGGATTGGTTTCTGTGTCCTCTATTCTGTACCATTGGTCCACCCGCCTGTTTTGGTACCAGTACCATGCTGTTTTTGTTACTATTGCTCTGTAGTATAGTTTGAAGTCTGGTATCGCTATACCGCCTGATTCACACTTCCTGCTTAGCATTGTTTTTGCTATTCTGGGTCTTTTGTTTTTCCATATGAATTTCATGATTGCTTTCTCTATTTCTACAAGAAATGCCGTTGGGATTTTGATTGGCATTGCATTAAACCTATAGAGAACTTTTGGTAATATCGCCATTTTGATGATGTTAGTTCTGCCTATCCATGAACAGGGTATATTTTTCCATCTTCTAAGATCTTCTTCTATTTCTCTCTTTAGGGTTCTGTAGTTTTCATTGTATAAGTCTTTCACCTCTTTTGTTAGGTTGATTCCCAAGTATTTTATTTTTTCTGAAGATATTGTGAATGGAGTGGTTGTCCTCATTTCCATTTCAGAGGCTTTGTCGCTGATATACAGGAATGCCTTTGATTTATGCGTGTTGATTTTATATCCTGCCACTTTGCTGAATTCATTTATTAGCTCTAATAGTTTCTTTGTAGACCCTTTTGGGTCTGCTAGGTATAGAATCATGTCATCTGCAAATAGTGATAATTTAAGTTCTTCTTTTCCTATTTTGATGCCTTTAATTTCTTTCGTCTGTCTAATTGCTCTGGCCAGTGTTTCGAGAACTATGTTGAACAGAAGTGGTGAGAGAGGGCATCCCTGTCTTGTTCCAGATTTTAGAGGGAATGCCTTCAATTTTTCTCCATTCAGAATGATGCTAGCCTGAGGCTTAGCATAGATT